AGTCCCTGGATGGTCGCCAGATCCGTGTAGATCATGCAGGCAAATCAGCCCGGGGAACCAGAGGGGGTGCCTTCGGTGCTCATGGGCGTGGTCGCAGCTACTCTAGAGGTAAGTGTATTGGTAGGCCTCATGAAGAATTGTCTTGGTAGACCTTTGTCTGGACAACTGTTATTTCGATGTTTTCTTAATTGCAGGAGGTGGGGACCAGGGCTATGGGAGCAGCAGGTATGACAGTCGGCCTGGAGGATACGGATATGGATATGGAAGGTCCAGAGATTATAGTGGCAGGTGGGTAGCCAAGGGGTTGGGATATTGCCAGTATTGCTATATTTAGAGTTAAATTGCATGTTTTAATCAAAGCACTGTGCAACTTTAGCAAGTCACTTGGGCCTCAAATGGGAATAACAATAGCTTCACCAGGGGTGTTGTAAAGATTAAATTTTAATGTGGGTATAAGGTGTATCGAAGTGTCTGGTGTAGTTAATGTTTCATAATGCTAGTTATATTAATAGTATAATTATGATTTATAGTATGTATAAATAAATATATGTAACACCTTGGTATTACTGACTAGTAGATGTAAAACACAAACCGTCTTGTGGTTAATAATACGTGTGTGTTGATTTGCTATGTTGGTTAAATTTTCACTATTGTGTTGATTATGACTTATTTTATACGTAAATGTTACCATATCCTATGTAAGAGGTTGTTATATATATAGTATGTGTTGCATAACACAGGAAAAACCCATTGCCAACTCAGAACTACCCCATAGGGTTTCCAAGACTGTAAACAAACTGCCTCCAGGGTGCTTCATATGATACACAGGATGTTTTTATTGTTGGATGTATATAAATACATTCTTACAACACAATTATGTGCATTTTTTCCCAGAAGCCAGGGTGGTTATGACCGCTATTCTGGAGGAAATTACAGAGACAATTACGACAACTGAAATGAGGCATGCACACATATAATGTAGGTGAGACTTACATGTTCTTGATCTCTGTTCGTTCATCCCTCTGGTATTCCTTTTTTTTCTCTCCTTCCCAGACTGCTCAGCATTTCCACTTAACCTCATCACCCAGCCAGCCCACCTAACCCCATTCCTATGCCTCCAGCCTCCCTTGCCCTTGGGTCCAAGTCATCTAATTGGGGGTGGGGGGAGGGGTTGGAGTTCTACAGCTCATCTCGCTTGGCAGAAGGTTTCTGTTGCTCAGCCCTCAGAGCATCCTTTTCTTATCCCTGGGAGGTAAGCATGTTGTCAACCTATCCCTGTCTGACATACCTTCCCCCCTTACTGTTCTCAGATACACAAGGAATAAAAATTCTTCTGATCCAGGATCGTCCTTCCAGATGGCTGTATTTATAAAAGATTTTCGGAGCTGCACTGAAACATCTTTGTTTTAGTACATCAACCTCTATTTTTTAATTAAGCTCCCAGGGTAGCCTGTTAAAGATCTTTTAGTAAACTCCATGTGTTTTTAAAACTTTTTTCTCCCATTTAAGACAAATTCTGCGATGTTTGTAGAGTCTGGGTATTTTTCCTTTTACCAGTTTTTTAGTTTGGACACTCAGGATTATCCTGGCAAAAAACTTCAGCCAGGCTGATTTTTTTTTTTGTTTTTTTTTTAATTGAGTATCTAGGGACATTTTAAAAATTTTTGTACACAATGTTTCTTTATCATGGTTAGAAAACAATTTCCGAATGTACCTATAGGAAATCTGCATCAAGAATATGATTACTTAGAGGTGTTTTTTTACTCTACATTGAGATCATAACCCTGATTATATCTTAGAAGAGCTTAAAAATGTTTGTGAATGTCATTTTTTTTTTTTTTTAATACTGGAAGAAAAATATTCTGTTGTGTTTCATGTAGTGTTTAGGATGTCCTTCTTGGAGCCGATTAAAAAAATGAAAATCTGAAAACTAATATTGACAATGCTGGTTTCTTAATGTAGTTTACAAATTAAAAACTAGGAGGAGGGAGGGTCAGAAGGAAGGAGGCTTTGAGATTGGTGGAGTAGTGAGAAGGGTGGGGGTGAACTGCCTGAAATGAGATTTCAAGGCTTGGCCAAATAAAGGATTGCTTTGGGTACACATTGAGTCCTCAGGTATGGTGCGTATACAGGTAAATTCAGTCACCTTAATGGAATGGCTGGGATGAAGTTGTTAGTAGGGTCTGCTTGGCAGTCAGAATGTTGTAGTTTGAATCTGCTTAGCTTTTCTACAAATCTCCAGGCTTCTTTTTTGTGATGTTTACATGGGAGAACATCATATTACATTTCATTGCAATGTTACAGTCCCTTCCATGCATAATCATAATCTCCAGGGTTCTTTCGATGTATAATGCTGTGAGGTAATAACTGCCATAACTGGAAAGGGAGGGGTTTCAATTCACTCCCCAGAAATGGGGTAGAAGACTTGATTTGAAACTAGCTTTTATAGTCTGGATTTGTTAATTAGCTGGGTCTAAAGTTCCACTTCTTCTTTTAGGAAGTTCTGGCGGGTGAGTTTGCAAATCCATTACAAGGAACTGCCTCCTGGGTCTCCCAGTAGCTGGGATAGACAGACCCCAAGAACCTGGCTCTTCTCCCTTGGGCAGGTGAATGGAGATTGCCATTTCTTGACATCTTTGGTGTAACTAAGGCCTTGAGAACCTAAGAGGGATCAATAGCAAGAATAGGTAAAAGCACACCAATTTAACAACATGAATACTACGAAATTGATTTCAAGTTAGGACAACTGAGTTCCTCCCACTAAAACTTATTGCTCCCTAATGTTCCTATTAATATTAGGTCCCATGTAACAGTGCTCAAAGGTTATATTCTTAATTAGACAACATAGTTTTAAGAAGAGGTGTGATATTAAAGTCTCTGGGCCGTAGTTGCAGTGGTAACTAGAGCCGAGAGATTTTAACAATTCATCCAGCTGCTATAGCTCCAAAAAATAGGATCCATTATGACTGGAAGTAAGCAGGTTCAATAATGACAGCTTATTACCTGGTAGGTTTGAATTGCTGACCTTAAGGTTCACAGTCCGATTCATAACTACTATGCTACCAGAGCCCAGGACTGCTAGTCAACATAGGACTCTAGTTTCAAAGGGGCCTGCTATCCTCTTAGGACTCAAACCAAGCACTGCCATCCAGTGGATTAGCTCTAGGAGCGGCGTGATTATGAATTGGGCTGCTAACCTGAAAGTTAGCAGTTCCACGGGAGAAAGAGGAGGCGTTCTGTTCCCGTACAGCCTCGGAAACCCTGTGCAGGGTCACTATGAGTCAGAACCAACTCCACAGTACTTAACATATAGTGGTTTGGAGGCTGTGAATCAACAGGAACCCTCATCTTTCCTGAGACACCGGTGAGTTTTGGAATGTGCATATCTTACAGCACTATCAGGGCCACTCATCCTTTGAAAGTGCTTCATTTTGTTTGGAGTCCCTGTGTTGTGCAAACAGTTAAAAATGCTGCTACTAATGAGTAAGGAGCTCTGGTAGTGTAGTGGTTAAGAGTCAAGCTGCTAACCTTAAGGTTAACAGTTTTTAAAACTAGCAGCTGTTCCGTGGGAGAAATAGGAGGCTTTCTGCTTCTGTAAAGATGTACAGCCTCGGAAACCCTGTACCGGGTCACTATGAGTTGGAACAGACTCCACGGCACATCACCACCACCACCAAGTAAGTTGATTCAAACACAGTGCACCTTGGAAGAAAGGCCTTGTGTTCTGCTTTCAAAAACTACATTGAAAGAGCCCCATAGATCACATATATAGTGTTTATTCCATTTCACTCATGTGAGTCAGACTCAATGGCAACTGGTTTTGTTGGGGTTTTTTTGTTTGATAGAAATGGGTTGTTAAGTGCCCATTGAATCAGTTTCAACTCAGAGTGACCGTTTCTGAAGAGCAGCTGGAGGGTTTGAACTTCTCCTACAGTTCCACACCAGGAGTTCAGAAACTGATTAGTTGTTTCCCAAGGACTCCTTTGAGACCAGAAACCAGAATGTCAAAGGTATATTGTATACCAAGGTCTGTGCAGACCAAAATCCTGGCCTACAAATACATATTCAACCTGTGGATTTTATCTATACCAAAAACCTTAATGTTAAGTGCCTTCAAGCTGGTTCTGACTCATAGCAACCTTGTATAGGGTTTCCAAGGAGCGGCTGGTGGGTTTCAACCGCAGATCTTGTGGTTCAAGTTGACTTTGCATTATTCTGCAGCGCCACACCAGAACTCTTAATAGCAAACACTATTTAAACATCATGCCCTATCTTTCCAGTCCAGAATAATTTCTAGACTAGGCTTTTTTTATTTTAAAGTTTTTACTGTGAGGAGCTCCGTCAGTAACAACATGGAATACTGGGCCAAGCAGCCTCAGGGGATGGTACTGTAACTCTGAAACACATAAAGGACTATTTGGAGGATTGGAGGGCTTACAGCTAGGGGAATTTGTAGGAGAATCAAGAAATCCATTGTTTTCTAATTCAAGATGCTCCTAGAACCGCCATCTTGGGAGAGAACATCTTGATTCTACCAGGATTAATAATCGAAATTTAAAGTGACAGTTTCGACATAAAACCAAAATGGCCACCACTCGTCTGTCATGCTGTGGTGGCTTGAGTTGCTGTAATTCTGAGGGCTATGCCATCGGTATTTTAAATAACCAGCAGGGTCACTCATGGTGGACAGATTTCAGATGAGCTTCCAGACAAAGACAGACTAGGAAGAAAGAGTGATGAACTACTTCCAAATCGTTAGTCACTGAAAACCTTATGAATAGCAGAGAAACACTGTCACATACAGGGCCAGAAAATGAGCCCCTCAGGTTGGAAGACACTCAAAATGCGACAGGGGAAGAGATGCTTCCTCAAAGTAGAGTTGGCCATGATGACGCGAATCGAGTTAAGCTTGTGGGAGAAAAGCCCACAGAACCTTCATTTGCTGATGGGGCACAACTCTAAATGAAGAGAAACTGAACCTATCCAGATCAGTCATGAGGTTCAATACTGTAAGTGATAGGATAATATCCATGAGCCTACAGGGAAGTCCAGTTAATACTATTACTCAAATTTATGCACCAACCACTAAAGGAGCTCTGGTAGCGTAGTGGTTACGAATTGGGCTGTGAACCTTCAGGTCAGCGGTTCGAAACTACCAGCTGCTCCGCGGGAGAAAGATGAGGCTTTCTACTCCCGTAAAGATTTACACCCTCGGAAACCCTGTACAGGGTCGCTATGGGTCGGAACCGACTCGACGGCACTTAACAACAACAACAACTAAAGCCAGTGAGGATGAAATAGAATTTTACCAACTTCTTCCATCTGAAATCGATCAAATATGCAATGAAGATGTATTGCTCATTACTGGTGATTGGAATGCAAAAGTTGGGAGCAAAGAGGAAGGACCAGTAGTTGGAAAATATGGCCTTGGTGATGGAAATGATGCTGGAGAACGCATGATAGAATTCTGTAAAACCAATGATTTATTTCAAATACCTTCTTTAAACAGGATAGCAGATGACTATACACAAGGACCTTGCCATATGGAACACATAGAAATCAATTGACTACATCTGTGGAAAGAAGATGGAAAACTCCATATCACCAGTGAAAACAAGGCCAGGGGCAGACTGTGGAACAGACCATCAATTACTCATATGCAAATTCAAACTGAAATTGAAGAAAATGAAAACAAGTCCATGAGAGCCAAAATATGACCTTGAATATATCC